ATACTTTAAAATTTCACCAAAACCGAATAGAAATGACAACATTTTGTCGAGGATTTCTCAACCTTTACTGAGAGGAATAATTTGACATTTGTTTGGTTTAAGATTTTTATATCTTTTGTCAAAGGAAGTTGGGGAAGGGATATAGTGTTTCATCTGTCAGTCACAAAGTTATAGTCCATCTATCTGTGGAAGTATAAGTCATAGTTCATGAGATTTTGTTCATAGATACGTCTTGAATAACCAAGGTGTCCTGATAAAAGTAAGGTCATCATGACCTACATTTCATATATGAGTGACTCATTAAAGTTTGCGTTAGAGTCCATATCTGAGATACAACTCGTGCAGATGCATCTTTTATAGTCAGGAGGGTCCTAAAAATAAGTCATCTTGACATAAAATTCATTGATGAGAAAATGAGGTGAAAGGCTGCGTTAAAGTCCATATCTGAGATGAGGAATACAAATATTTTGTCAGTAGATGCAACTTTGATAGTCACGAGTTTCAAAATCAAGACTTGAAAATGAATTAAATGATATTCCATTTGAAATTTTCATCAACTGCACTTAAATGATATTCAATTTCATCAACTGCACAATTTAGTAATATTTTATAGCATTATCATAACTAATTGGATTGGAACAGTTCTGGCAATTGAGGATTCAAGTCAACTCAATATACAGATTGTTTATATAAGCATTTTGCACTTTTTTTCACCAAAAACCTCCTTACTTCCGGCCCAAACATTTGGTGTGTGCACCAATTTACTCTCTTGTATGTGTTTTGTTATATCTTATTTCTAAAGCTATTCATAAAATTTGGTGCTGATGTTAGATCTCTGATAATCTATGTTAAGGCGTAACTTCTGTAGACTCCGGACGATTGAGACCTTTACATATTTGATATTGTGAAAGACCGTATGTTGACCTTTATATGTCCTTTTTGTCGCGTTGTGTTGACGTCTCGTGTACCTCTTTATACACGAGTTACTTCCCCTGTGATTAAACAGAAAATGTAACGGTTGTAAGCTTTGAGAAAATTACTTTTACTTTGAATTGCAATAATCAATACTTTTGCATAATCAAGCCTCTGTTGGTCACTCATTTTATCGAAATTTAAAGAAAAATGTCAGAGAAAATAGAAAATGCCAAATTTATTATTTCTACCACATTTTCAGACGTGCTTCTGTATTATTTCATTTACAGTATGGATATTTTCTGCTGCTGAAGTTTGGTGACCTATCTTTAAAAGCCTGGTATCTTTGATGAGTTTCAATTAATTTGGCTCCACCATAAGGTGGAATATGTAAGTTTGTAATTGGTAGCTTAGGCAGACGAAAGTCGCACGTGATAAGAGACGCACGTTTCAAATTGGTTAAGCGCTGAACTTTAATGGACTTTGGTGACGACTACCGAAAATTACGACTAAGAATGATCTAAATCCTAAGTTCTTTAAAATCAAGAACTTATAAAGTTTAGATTTTTTTCTTCAATCATGTATCCATTTCATAAAAATAATGTATATTATTCTAAGACTATTCTATAGAAGTTTGCTTCTCCTTGTTTGAAAATTGTATTGTTATGCATTTTAATGCACGGGTGTCACATATGAAGCAGAATTTGTTTACTCTTCCTGTGCACCTGGGAATCCAGGTTTTTTGTGGGGTTCGTGTTGCTGAGTCTTTCTATGTTTTTAATGTTTTTGAGACTCTTGTTTGTCTTTTCGTCATTTTTTATTTTTTGCCGTGATTTTGTCGGTCTCTCTTCGACGTATGAGTTTGTTTTTCTTCCTTTGGTATCTTCCGCCTTTTTTTTGTTAACGTATACACCGAATTTGTTTTATGATTATTATTGTTATGCATATTAAGACAAATGTGATAAACGTTAATGAGGTGTATGCCTTTTAAAAACAACCTTATGGTTTCTCTTTACTTTAGAGGTCATATTTAGACGTTTGTTTGACATGAAAGGTATGTTGAGGTAACTAATAAACTATTAGTCATAGAGACCTAGAGGCATATGATATGAGGTCTTTCGTCAATAAGAAGGAAATTGAGGTCAAGGTCATGTTCAATATTTTATTAAGTTTGCTTGTTGTCGCAGAAAACATAAAAGTTATCGACATAAGGCTTTTGAAAAATGTAAGTTGTAGAATGACATAAATTTGGGTCTAATTGCTCTGGTGACTCTATATAGCAGTTTTTTCACATAAATATTCGAAATGAGCTGTTTGGAAGGATAACTTCTTAACCATACATATCATGACATGGGGTCTTTTGATATGAGATCCATGACCATTAACCTTAATATTGAGGTCAAGGTCAAAGTTAAATTAGACGTTCTAGATTTTGCTCTTTGCCAAAACTTTATAACTGGTACATGATAAAGCCATATGGTCTTTTATATTAGGCTGGACGACAAATGACCTTGTAAAAGGTCAACCGGAAGTAGCATTTTTTGCACTTATTTCATGTAAGCGTACATAGAAACCATATATTTTCAGAAACCGTGTGAATCAACCTTTCATATGAAACGGTAGTGACATTTCGTAAACCGTCAGTTGCAAATTATCTCCCTTATTGCAAGCAAAAGTATATATAAACCATATATCTTTTTGAATCAATGTTTTGATAGCAATGAATTACACAGGAAGTGTTATTTTGTACACCGGAAGTTATCAATTATTTCCCTTATTTCAATCAAAAGTATAAAGAAACCATATATTTTTCGATCAGTGTAAGATGAGTTATCTTCTGATACACTTTTTGTTTACGAAGGTTTCTTTTTTTTTTGTAATTACAAAAAAATATCTTGCATATCTGTATAAAATTTCATTTAAACCTGAAGTATCAACATGTGAGGTGGAAAAATATGAGGCGCCGTTTTACTTTTTATTCCTTATTTTATGATATCAAAAAATATTTCTTGATATCAAAAAATTGAATTCCTGATATCAAAAAATGATTTTTTGATATCAAAAATTCGAATTCCTGATATATAAAAACATTTTTTTTTTGATATCAGAAAATAGGAAAAAGATGAAAGATGGCTCCCTGTGTGTCGATGAAAGCATCCGTGTTCACCCATGAGCCCTAACATTAGGTCTGGTGAGTCGGTCGTTATTAAGGAAAGAATATCTCAGAATTCGGCTTCATCAGTCATAAGAAGTTTTGTGTTTTTGTGTTTCACATTTCAATTATTTTAAGGTTTATTGTCAATAATTCTTCCCGTTTCTTTTATAAGGAATTATTGGTTTCCTCTGAAACAGATTTGTACAGCCAGGATTTTGTGAAATTAAGCCCCAGTGTTTATGGTAATCTTGTTTTTAGTTTTTTTTTTCCCCGTTGTTTATGTTGCGGATTTAGTAAGTTAGTTAGTTCTGTGAAATATAAAAATAAGGAGATGTGGTATGAATGCCAATGAGACAACTATCCACCAAAGTTCAAATGAAGTGGATGTAAGCAATTATAGGCAACCGTACGGCCTTCAACAATGAGAAAACCCCATACCGTATAGTCGGCTATTAAAGGCCCCAACATGAAAATATGAAACAATTCAATTGAGAAAACTAACTGCTTAATTTATATCAAAACAATTTACGAAAAACAAATATGACAGACATGAACCAACGACAACCACTGAACTACAGGTTCCTGACTTGGGACAGGCACATAAAGAATGTGGCGGGGTTAAACTTGTTAGAGCGCTCAACTCTCCCCTAACCTGGGACACTGGTGTTACATCACAACATAAGTGTAGTTTAAAGCCAATAACAACTAATAAAAAAAATGCATGTTTTGTATTTTCAAATACTTCGTCTATTTCGTCTTTTTAAGAGACGTTTTTTGAAGACTGCTAGTATTTCTTATGGACCGCGCCTTGCATAAATCCTTTAAATACATTTATTTTATATGAGGTTTTTCTGTGAAGTATTGAAAATTTTCAGTAGGTTTGATGTGCGTTTTTATATCTAAAATACCTTCATTTTGGAAGCGTTTGTCTTTGTATTAAAACGATTGCCAAGAAAGTTGTAAAATTTAGGTGGGTATGTATTGTATTCGATATATAAGGCGAAAAGATCGTGTATTAAATTAGTTGAACCTGAATATATCATCCAGCCATCGTATCTAAATCTTGAACACATCAGTCTTTTGTTTCGATGTGTCAAGCTTTGTAAAACATTTTTCAGTATTTAGTAAATTCTTAGGACTATTCCGCCGATTGGGATTCTAAGCGTTCGACGCAAAAGTAAATATGTTTTATTTTAGAATAATTCCTAAAAGCTTCAATATATTGTCTTTTAGTGGATGGGACCCGAATTTCGTAATAACTTGGAACGAGGTAATTCAGTACTCGTTCAGTTTCGTCAAAATGAAGATTAGCGTACATGTTTTTTGCTTCAAATGTTATTAAATAGCAGTTTTCTGGAGACTTTGAAGTCTAAATCATTATAAAACTTGAAGTGTCCTTGATATAAGTATTTTGTTTTTGGAACAAGGGACCCTATGTCATCAATATAATGATGACCAATATCGTGTAGCGGTACTCCACATTATAAAACAATTGGTCTACCAGGAACATTTTTTGCATATATTTCCTGATGTTTGGGCTCATGGGTGAGCTTGGATGCTTTTATTGACACACAGGGAGCCATCATTCATTTATTTCTTATTTTCTGATATCAAAAAATGATTTTTTGATACCAAGAATTCGAATTTTTGATATCACAAAATCATTTTTTGATATCACAAAATCATTTTTTGATATCAGAAAATAAGAAATAAATGAATGATGGCTCCCTGTGTGTCAATAAAAGCATCCAATTTATTTATCTCAGTAATAGTATTTGTGTTTTATTTTTGTCAAATTAAGAAATGTTACCTTTTCTATAAATAAAATAAAAAAAAAACCACTAGGATGTTGCTACAAGGTTATTTAAGTAATTAATGGACAAGGATGAAAGTAGACATCTTAATTATGTATTATCCGACATAAATCGTGCAGAGGACAACATGGTGCAATCGTTTGTGCATTTTTTGCTGTTATGGATGTCAATGTCTAGTAAGTAAAATGTATATTTTCTTAATTATCAAGTAGAATTTGTTTTATAATAAGAGCGCGTTTTAATATTAGTATGGGGGCATTGGTGGAAGAGTGGTCTAAGTAATAATGTAATAGTGACATTTTTAGTGGTCTTGTGATGTTTGTGAATTTAATTTTATATATGTGTTTTAGTCATGCACGTTGGATTATGGTTTTTGTTTTACGGGTAGATAGTTATCTAGTTAGTTCGCTGCTGAAAGTTGACGAGGTTGTATTGAAGATTTGTCCAAAGACATGTGGTTGTTATAGTTGGAAGTATCAGTGAATGCACATCCTAAAGACGCACAAGTATGATTTGTCAGTTAGACTAAAATCCATAATTTTGGGCGTTCATCGCGTTATATTGAATACGTTTGGTGCCAATAATAAATTTATTAACTTTTACTGGATTGGTTTTGTCAGCCACATGAAGCCCGTTACATTTTGGAGCCCCCAGTGAGGATCGAACTCACGACCCCTGTCGTCTTCATTTTGAATCTTGTATCATTCTTCACAGTCACATCATTTTGTCCATTGACTCCTGTATCCATGTCATTCACAATAAGGTTACATCCAGCTATAGAACCTGTACTGTTCTCTGATACTGTACATCTATACACATCTTTGTCAAACACAGGTGAGGAACATTAAGAAAGACCGAAAATAATATTTCAAAGACTGAGGGAATGCAATTTAAAGTTAGGATTGAAAAAATGTGAATTTCTAAAGCCAGAATGGCATAGTTTTTATCAGATGAATCAAATGTCTGTTCGGGAGTCATTACCAGAGACAAAACATGTGTTTGTTAACTTGATTTCTTCAGGAGTTTTACAGGGTGTATCAGAAACTATGGTCAGCAGAATTGTAAATACTATTTTAGATGACGCTTAGTCTGAACAGAAATAGATAAATGCCGAGACGCCATTTCGAGGACGGGGAAGAATGTAATAGTGACATTTTTAGTGGTCTTGTGATGCTTGTGAATTTAATTTTATATATGTGTTTTATTTTATGAAATAATAGTTACTAAAAAAATCAAAATTATTATTGTGAAACCATTGGGTTGGATGTTCTTTTTTTTATTGAAGATTTGTCCAAAGACATGTGGTTGTTATAGTTGGAAATATCAGTGAATGCACATCCTTGACGCACAAATATGATTTATTGTGTTATATTGAATACGTCTGGTGCCAATAATAAATTTATTAACTTTTACTGGATGGGTTTTGTTAGCCACATGAACCCCCGTTACAGTTCTGCTACTGTACTACTAGCATGTCAGCACTGAGGTTGTGAGTTTAGCCCCGCACGTGGCAGGTGCGTTTACCTCCAATCTTAATTGACTAGGATTGCCAGTTTTCCTGTCGAAGGTCGGAGGTTCTCTTCGTTCACTCTGGCTTCTTCAACCAATAAAAACTGGCCGCCACGAAAAAGTCAAAAGTGCTGAAAGTTGCGTTAAAACACCAAAAATCTATCAACCAATCTTGTTAGTACGGCAGCAAATTTAGATTGTTTTGTCATATATATGCAAAGCAACTGAAAATAAGATAAAGAAATAGAAGGGATTATAAGAACAGATCATTAACACAGAAGATTAACCCCAACCCCACCTCGATAAAAAACAAATCCGATGTCGAAGAAAACGAACAATTCTGAGTAAAAGAGAAAGATACGAAAACACGAAGCAAACTTATGTCCTTAAATTGCATGATTGTTTTTTCGTTGTTCTTTTTGGCGGGATTTGTGATTTTTGATTTGTGACTTATGATTTTTGATTGCTCCCATGGTAACTTCTCTCCCTTATTTTGTCTACGATACATTAACAATTATTCCTTATGTTTTTGTATTATGACTTTTAGAGTTTGTTACTCATTCTTTTTAGATGGAATAAAACGTATCCAAATTAAAAAAGAAATAACTCTATATATTTAGTTTTTTCCGAAACGCTTTTCTGGAGTTCCCTTCATCAGAAGTGCTCAAAACCAAAAATTTGTAATACCAAGGATTTGTAACCAAAAATGACTTAAAAAGAATGGCCAAATTAATATAAGGCCAACTTTGCCTGAGAGAGTTGGAACCTTAGTTTCTTAATATGTTTTTAAATTTTCTAACTGATGAAGTTTTGAAAAGTATGTTATAAATCATGCCAGTACCGAAGCACCAACTACTTAGCTCATGGTTAATGGGTATATTTCTTTACATTTGCTAGATTTGACTGATATGTCTTTACTTATGACAGTTCGACTATAACATTTTTTTCAATTTATTGACAATGTCATTAGCAATAAATCAAAGAAATAGTTTCTGTAAAGTGGGTTGACCGGCGGCATGAAGGCCTGGAAATTTAGACCTTTGATAGGGGCAGTAATAACGCTTGCCTGGTCACCTATGCGTACCTCTAGAAGAGTTGAAACAGCGAGTTCTTTAAAGAAAAGAGAGTGACAATTTCCCTACACCATGCATCATATTTAATGTCCCCTTTCAGAATAGACTTCCTCGTGATGGGTTTTACTGCCGAACGGAAGAAGTCCGTGTGACCATATGCTATATTTATACCCCTGTACACCATTGTGGTTACACTTTATTTCAAGTCGCATATATGGTTTTACAACTATCTAAGCAGTTCATCCGTTTTCATTGCATATTTCAACAAAGTTTTCGTTCAAAATTCATAATAACGCGAAGTACATTTAACTTTTTTGTATAATATTTTAAAAGTATTGTCGGACAGCTAATGAAAACATGTTTGTGAAATTTAACTAGATTTGAAGACAGTTTAACATTCAAGGGGGTGCATTATCTTTTTGTAAGATGTCGACTGCTTCGTTGAAGTCATCCATGGCCAGCTGCGGACCGAGTAAAAATTGAGATATATTTGTATTTAGATGTACAGTTCAGTATGGATAGGCCACCTTCATTATCGAAACTGCTTACTTTTGTCTAATTATATCCGTTTGCCGTTGTGCATTAAAATAATGATCCCAAATTGTTGTGGTAAATATAAAATTGTTTACGAGATCTTGTCTCCGTTTTTTAATTGGTTTATTAGCTTGTAAAGTTTAACCAAAGGTTTTTACCCTCCGGAAAAAATCTATAAAAGTAACTATGTGCACTGCTTTAATATAACACTTCAAAATAGTTTTACTGACTGTACGAGTTATATATATATCGTCACATACGGGGAATTGAACTACAAGATAAACTTTCTTCAAAAGTGAATATGACCTCGTCAATTTATCATTTTATTATTTTAAATACATTCCATTTCAATAAGTTTCAACATAGACATGAAAGAAAAAGAGAAGAGTTTAATGATATGAACCAACCTTTATTTTCACGCGTGACAAAAAAATATAATCCACTGTATTTAGACAATCAGTCATGTGCGCTAATCGACTACATAACAACCTGTCATAATTTTAAAGAAAGAAAACATTAGAATAAACAACACGAATCTCGTTAAAAGTCAGGTTAACCAAGGAGCTCCGAAAGTAATTAATTCCTGTCCCACTCGTGTTGCTGATAAGGTTTATTCAGTGATGTCATAAACGTGCAAAGGACCATATACAACGTCAATAACACTTAACTAAGTCATAAGGGTCTTGATAAAGTATAATGGACAAAAGTGAAGAATAAAGGGCGAAAAAGATACTGAATAGCGAAAAACAGACATAAAAAAAAAAGAGTAGAGAATAATGTGGTGTTATTCAATGTATAAAGAAAAGAGAATAATGGGCAAAATAAATAAAGGATAGAGAAAAATGGTCTGAAAAATGAAAGAATATAAAAATGGAAATCCCCTATCCAGACTCTCAGTCATGGCTGTGACCGAAAAACTTTCCGTAATCAACATAGATTACGTTAAAGAAAGCATACGAAAGGGATTTCAGAATTTGTTGTTGACAAAGAACCTTTTTGAAACCTATCGTAAAATTGTCATACAAATATTGCATACAGACAACTGCGGTAATGATGATTGTAAGTACAAATTGGACGAACAATGTTTATCATTGAAAATACATATTCAAATGAGCAATCTGAAAAACACCTAGATTTGTAATTGCGAGCAATAACGGATGGCACCCTCGTCTCCCCATTGCCAGGGTATCGGCAGCCATTTTGAAAATTCCAAAGTCAAACAGCGCATCTACACATGCCAATTATTGATTTTTTGGACATTTTTGCTGTTTCCATGGAAACGGCGGCCATCTTGGAAATGCCATAGGCCAAAGACCACGAATATAGTTCCTTTTAATTAGAGTTTCTTAATTTTTTTTCTTTCCCTTCCTCACTCATTTCTTAGATTTTTTTGGATGGAAATGAAAGAAGAGAGGTGAAATAAACTTTTGGATGTTGTATTTCAACTGATTTTGATATGGAAAGAGTGATTAGGCCAGGTGCAAAAAGGTGATATTTACAGTTTTCGGAACATCTCTTGACTTGTCCATAGGGGTATGGATGTGTATTGGCTAAATTTGTAAGATGCTGGGGAGCGATATTTCTGAATGTTTGATATATGTTTGGACTAGTACTGTACTTTACACTCACAAAATATTTGACAAAAAGAATCAGTGCAATTTTTTTAATGAAACAAAACGTTATAAAGAACTAATAGAGAATTTAATTGTGGTCTGTGGCCCTACCCCGATTGCAAATCTGCACATGCTGGTTAACTTTATTGTATAGTTCCATTACAATTGGTTCATACAATTCCAAGATATAAGCTGAAAATAATAAGAAAAAAAGAAACGTAGAATAACTGAATTTTTGCCTGCTTTATTGATTTGAAAAAGGCTTTTGATACAGTAAATAGACAAGCACTTCTTTACAAATTATCTTGTTATAATATCAGAGGAAATTTTATTAATATTATAGAAAATATGTATAAAGAGGAACACTTTTCTGTGAGCCTAAATGATGGTTTAATATGGAACGCCATGGCTGCCTTATATGTACTTATTTCTATATATGCACATACT